GGCCCAGGAGTCTGGCCCTAACAGGTAAGTTGGGTATGTAGCCTAGGCCTTTGGCCATAGGGGATAAAGTCACGGACAGCCGTCTGACGTCCCAGGGGCAACTCACCATGAAAATGGTAAAGTTGGTACTTAGTGCTTGCCATGGTTCTGGCCCGCACTCCCCTCAGCATGGCGGCGTGGGTATATCGTTTGGTTAAAATTTCTCAATGGTAGTGTAAAAACACTTTTTTTTTACTCTGTCAAAAACAGCTCTAAGGTAAGACGGCAGTCCAGTCTCTGCTGAAACGCTACTGTCAATCCAACTATCGTGGGAGGGGCCTGTCTGTGTGACGTCACACAGACAGGCATCTGAAATCGCTCGATTTGAGAAAGGGGAAAACATTTAACCAGATAAAAAAAAAAAAACACTGGGTGGATTTTTATCTTTATAGGGTGGTTGTGTACACATACTGCCAACACACATTTCAGTTCAAACAACTTGTAAAAGTGCATGTAGCATCCTATGACCCCTTTAAAGCTGTGAGGGGGCAAACATTAGCAGCACCTCAAGCGGTTAAAACAATGTGAACAAAACACACACGAGTCCGACCCAAATGTTTAACGTCACTATTGTTACCATCTATTTGCATTAGTTCATATCCAGCTGGTGGCTTTGTAGCGAAGTTTATTGCTAGTGAGGCCAGAAAGAGGCCAGAAAGAAAACTGATACTTTCATGCAGATACAAACCTATCAGTACAAACCTTTTTTATCATCACCGTCTGTAACACATCATTTAAATAATCGTTAAGTTTCTAAAATCAATCGATTTGTACATTGGTACGTAGTTCACATTAACCCTTTGAGTTCCATCCGTGATAAACTCAGGTCTAAGGTTAATAAATGCAGTGTTAGATTGTTAATTTCAACATGATCTGTTATCATTAGTTAATGCACTATGAACTAACTCAAGTGATCAAGGAATAATTAACAATGTAATGATATGTATTTATATTAAAAAAGTATACAGTACATTTTCTTGATTCGAATTTTTTTTTTCTTGTAATAAAGTTAAGCACTATTTTAGTTGGAGTGTTATGTTTGTTGTCATTCAGTATCCATTTAAAAAAAATATTGTTAATTAATCGGTTACCGCCGGCCAGTGTGGTAGTCACTGTTATTGGTAAAATCCACTATTGGTCAGCCTGTAAAGATAATAAAATAACATGTCCGTCAGTGAATATTGCCAGCTGTAGTTATATAGACAAAACTATTGTTATAAATTGTTATAATTAACATATACTCTGTGTAATTTGTGTATTACCGATAATTTAAATTGATTTAACTTCTGATGTAGTTTATAGAATATATTTTTTATTCATTCACATTTGTTCCCCATCCTTTCGCCAAAAACACTTCCACTACAGTGTTGTGAAAAAGAATCCTGCCTGGTTAAATAAAGGTTAAAAAATCGTGTGCGATTTCAGTAGGCCTACATCAAACATGTCGTTTTATTGCATGATGAATATTACGAGAGGGTCT